TAGCCGGAACCGGTCTCCGGTCAGCCGGAGTACCCGGAACAGCCGGAGTAGACGAAAATGAGTTCCGGCTGTTTCGGCTATCTGGCTAACTTCACGAACATCACCCGTGATACTGTTATTTTGTGTATGGGCAATATCTCCCCTTTAGAAGCGAGATTCTGACCCAAAACAAAAATATTTCAGAATCCAGGTTTTGGCTCAACAAAATATTTGTAATAACCAACAAAGATGCATAACTCTTGCAATTTCACGAAATGGTTTTACTCAGCTGTTTAGTGCGGCACGCCTCAAGATGAGATTTAGAAATTTTTAAATAAAGTCAAACTTATAAAACAGATCTATAAAGAACTTTAACAAATACTTAAATATTCAAAATCCATAACTCGAACTCTTTTAGATTACAAGCACATGCGAAAGAAGGATGCATTTAGTACCACTATAAACATATTTCTGCCCCGTCACTAACGTAGTAAAGGGATACTTATGCATATTTTGGCATTACGTAAAATTATTTAGCTAAATAACTTAAATCGTTCACACGAAATATTGTTACTGATTTTGAAAACGATCTCTAAATTTTAATGAATCTGGAGACGTTCTGTTTTTAAAATGTCAGACTGGTATGAGTTATTTCGGAACAGAGTGGAATAATTCCATGAAAGAACCGCTAACTCGCCAGCTCGATGTACGCGTCCATTGCATGCTGTGTTGACATTACTTCCAAATATTACATAAAATATGTAAACAAAAACCAAGAAGAAAGGGCAGCATTCGATGAACGACACCTAACAGTACAGGACAATCGGCAAGAAGCCCAGGAGGAAACCGAAAATTTTATGGTAGCACTAGGTCAATATCTGACGATATAATACTATCGACAATATTAGCAATTACGAGCATTTCTCTTGACATAATATTTTTAACGAAAGTTTACAAATATTTGCACTAATAATATTATTACATAAAACATTTTCACAAAATACATCAAAACTTATCTGTATAGGCGCATGGGTTTAGCATGTATAAACATCGTGAACAATAAATTCAGAAATAAAGGGAAATAACTCGTAAAAATCAATCAAACTATTTCCATTCGCATCGTCACCACAACAAAGACACAGTTACAATTTTAATTGAGCTACTTCTTCATATATCTAATAATTTTATACCCGAGGTATTCATCCATAGAAATTCTATGAGGAAAATTCGAATCATTAATACAATATTCATTTTCATCTAATTCATGTATAGATCTATCAAAATCTGTACAGTTTTGTAAAATATCAGACCTTTTTCCGCATCTTGAATTCCAATCGCCAATTATTGAGACGGTACCTAATTCCATATATTTTCGAATGTTTAATTCAAGTGACTCAAAAAATCCAATTTCATGCAAATTATAATATATAGAGTTACTAGGTGGTACATAAAGAAAACAAACATACATATCTTGTAATAATCGAGAAAAAAAAATGATTGCAAAATTTAACCCATATTATACCTGAACAATATTTTTCACTAATACTTAATCCATCCTTTTATATTTCTTTATAAAACAAACAAATACCGCCATGACCCCTCTTAGACTTTAAGCTTTCCCTTCTAGGAACTTCTACTGATTTATACATGTAACACTCAATACAATAATTGTCTTTATTACGCTGCCAAGTTTCAGAAAAAAATAAAACATCAAAATTTGTCACAAAATTCAAAAAGTCTGTAACAGTCAAACAGTTTTTCAAACCTTCTACATTCCAAGAAACGATCGACACCTTAGTGCAATAACGCAATTAGTGCTTATAAATTTAATAGCAGTTAATCAGTTATTGCACTAAGGTGACGCAATGTTCAAATCACACTTTTCTCCTTGACGCTAGCTTTATCCTTTTGCGTTGATGCTGGTTCCTGCCTTGTAGAGCTTGTTGTCGATGAACAGCTTGTCTTGTACAAGTACTGCCCTTTTTCCCGCTCCTCTGGCCTTGATCATTTCCGCTATTAGAGCGCGTCGTCTGTCCATGACCTCTTGTGGGAACTCATCTGAAACATTGAAGGGAGAATTGCGCAGATTTACTTTTCTAATTTGTTATTTCAGCATGAATCTATACTCTTTGTCTTCAAATCGGACAACAATTTTTTGAAATAAATTTTTTTTCCAAAAATTAAGGTCAGAAATTACGATTTTGCAATTGAACATTTTCCTTGCTTATTATGGCTTATAGAAATAAATAGTCATAGATGACTTCTGGGAGTTCTGGAATGTTAAAAATGTGAACCACTCATTTGGCAATTTCGTCTATTATATATTTATCGCATTGTAAATAATTAACTTTTATAATTAAAAACCATGGGATATTTTATTTGAACAAGATTATTTTACATGAGAAGCATTAGAATTGAGATTTATTGGCAAAACTACGCCAAAAATAAAAAAAAAACAAAAAAAAAACAGATAAACTATAATCAGTAATTATCAGACAATATGGTTATACTGTATTTTAACAGAAATGATCGATTCGTTTAAATGATTTTGTTTTAATTGTTTGATTATTTTGTGTCCACAGTATCTTACGATATCACAAAAAATCATGTTCCTTTAAGTAGAACAGACGCCATATTTTACGTTGCTATAAAATTGGTCATAATCGTTTTAAAATTTAACCATGTGATGCAGGGAGGTTTGTCTAATATATTAGGCAACATCCAATCATTATTTAATTCGATTTTACTTAACGCCTGAAAAGAAATGTTTTGCACGCTTTGTCATTTCACTGCCGAGATATATGCGCTGAACCGGTTATAAAATGTGTCAGTACTGTATAAATTTTTTAGTAATAAGAAAACGTTTTTATTTCAAAATTTGCAATATTGCAAGTTTTTGGAATGATAGAATCAAGATCGTGATTAATATCCACCAGACCTTTTTGGGGGAAGTTTTGTGAAATTTGCTTTTCAAGCATACATAGATGTTTATTGAAATAAAAAAACTTATATCATTAATCTTAGTGAACTCACGAGGGCATGACAAACTACGAAAATATTATTTTTTTATGTTCATCATGATTTATACAAACGCTTATAGATAGTGTTCCAATATATAAATGTGAAAGATACATGTATAGCTTAGGTAGAGCCAACTAATCCTTCACTTGATTTTTCATTTGATAAATTTTTTGCAAGTATCTTACAGAAAACCGGACGTAGCTGAACAGATTCGCATTATGAATTTAAATTTGCTATTGTTTGTTACTGTTTTGATTGAAAATACCATAATTTTATGTAGAAGTGGCAGTTGATGATGAAAAATCGTAATCGAGTTATATCAAGCAATGAAAAATAATTTTTAATGACCGGATACCTTGACCCCGCACAATTACCTATTAGATTTTGTAACTTAATCTTATATAAAAACTAAGATATACGACCTCAGTTTCTATTTAACTCTTTTCTGTTCACTTATTGGACACGTCCAAGATAAAGATAATCGCCTTATATCCAGGTTAAAATCTGTTCATTAATAATGAGGAAATGATAAAGAGAAGAAGTTCTTGAGACTGTTTGACTGCTTGAGAATATTTGAAATGCTTTGTGTATATTGTATCATGCATATATGTTTTCTGAGCAAAATGTGTTTAAACTGCATTTTTGTAAATGATGATTTGTTTAAATAAATGAAATTGTAAATGAATAAATACAAAATATATATTCTTGAACGTAACTTTTATCATATGCAACTTCACTGTTTCCATTAAAACTCTGACAAATGCAAAACTCGTATTTATAAGAGATTATGAAGACTCGTACTTATATAATGTGTTCATAAGAGACTCGTATTTATATAATCTGTTCATAAGAGATTAAGGAGAGGAAAGTACAACATCACCCGCCCATCTCCATCACCTACCACCAGTGAAATATAATATATCACTGTTCAATCATTGAAATCATGATCCCGAAGGACCAGAAAAATATAACAACATTAACATTAAGTACGGGGAAACTTTTTACAGCTGCCACATAGCCCTTATCAGCTATCTAGTCCCCATATGACTTTTACAATGTCGATTCTGATTTAAAACCTAATAAAATTGTGGTTGAGTAAGAATTTTTTATTTAGATATATACATACCTTATATTATAGGTTATATGTTACCTTTTATTTTCAATCACACTTATTACTTGTACCAGGTATTTGTGAAAAGTGCAATTCCTTTGAAAAGGACGTATCATGACATAATGGCAAGAAAAACATCTGATGGCCGCCATAATCCAAGATGACCGCCATATATGAACTTTATATGGAACTCTGAACTCAAAAGAACATCTGTAACACTAAAGTACCACACAAAAATCCCCTTCAAAAGAATACAATCGTGATAAATGTACAGCCCACACCAGAAATTGATAAAAAAAATCCATTTGAAGTGTGATTATAACATAATATAAGCAGTCCAATACAGAATAGCTTTCGAGCTACGTTCACACACTATATCAGTTTCAATGTGGCTTATTATGAAAACTACTAACACCACCACTTACTAGTAATTGATAGGAATCACGTTTTAGCTCCCACACACATCCAATGTGAACAAGAGTCCTAAATTGGGCATTTAAATTTTAATATATTTATTATACAGCCCCACGACTTGTGTACAGAACACTTCGTTAGAAGTTATAAATCATTGTATGCTTAGCTTTGCATTTAACAAATAATTAACAATTTTCCACTTTGCAACCCCTGTTATAATATTAAATACGGAATTGTACCGCTTTGAGTAATTATCGAGAGTTGAGCAATTGGAATTTCGTTTAAATATTTGTTTGAGGGTGATTTACTTTGATAAGCGTAGGAATTCGTCCTTGTTCAATTTAATATATTTAACAATGAATTATAATAAAGCAATAAAATATACGAACTGCAAAATATCTTAATTGTGTTAAAGTTAATACATGATTAAACCATATATTGTCGATGCGTGGTATTTTCTGAAATAGCATCAAATATGGACACGCTTTTTCTACGAGGTATGATAAAAAAGTTCTCGGCCCGATATACTTCTAGCCACTACACTGACATTTACACACGATACGTCGATACCGATATATTTTGGAAGCAATGAAGGTGTCACGAAGGCTTAGAGGACCAAAATAGAGAGTTCTATTTCGAAGGCTTAAACAAGTTGGAGCACAGGAGGACAAAGTGCATTGGTGCAGAAGGCGATTTTATTGAAAAGTAAGACCATAAGTTGGGTTCCCTGACTACTGGAAGTACATCAGGCCAAGAACTTTCTGATCAATCCTCGTAGACTATACTCAACCACAAAATGGGCGTTAAAATGGGCGATAAAACGCCAACTTCTCTTGCCACTGTTTCTGACCAGCGTCTTTGACAGCTATATAAGTGTCGCTTGGATTTCAATGAAATCATTATATTGTTTTGTGACATATGAAAATACTTGAAAATGAATGCTGTTGGATTCCTTCTGTGTAATATATTTTTGTGTTACATTTTAACTTTTCTAAATGAATTTACACCATTTTTTAAATTGCTTTTACCTGAATTAAAATGATATTCTATGTTTTAAAGTAATTACCTTTATTTCTACCATAGATCGTTGAAGAATAATATTTTATATTTCAGGTGTATCTGTACCAGCTGTGAGCGCGGCGATCCCTCTTGAAAGCCGACATACCAGAGATGTAAACCCACCTTGTTTTCTGAACGATGACAATATCCAACCTGAAGTTAATTCAACATTAGCATCTTCTTTTGAAAAAATAAAAGATCAAGTACAGGATCTGAAGGCTAAAATTGAATTGCAGATAACGAGGGTAAGTGAGAAGAAACTACTTTCATTTCAATGTTTCAAGAGCAATAAAAACACACATATAGAAGCGAGGTTTGTCTCTTAACATGTCTACAGAAAAGAATGGCGTTTCTTGTCATAAATATTGGTTATCATCTCTGATAGAGAAACAAAAACAAAAAAGAAAAAACGTTAACTATCAAATGTTTCTTGGCAAATAACAGATTTACCTAGCATTCACCATTTATGATTCTTATATGAGTACTTTTTGATTTTTATTTTGTTTATTAGACTAATTTAATTGGCGGAAATGTACTAAAAATGTAAGCAAAGTAACTGGGAATGTGCATATTTTCATATAGTTTTACAAATAGTGAAAATGTCAACTTTTTGCACTATTTTGGGTTTCTCATCTTGCAATGAGGCGAAACAAGTATATCAAATGCAATCAAGTTGTAACGATGCAGTTTTAAATTGATCTTGTATGTAGTATTTTGTATGCTATGTTGTCGTAATGGCAACTAACCTAGAAATAATTGACCTGATCTGTGATTTGAAAAAGTAAACTTTCATGACCACAAATGGCAAAATGATGATAAGTTATTAATTGGCACAAGATAAACTCAAGATCACATTGATGTTTTATGCTAAAACGGTTTCGGATCAATAACTCGATAACCCAAAGAGCCCTTGGCCCTGGGCGCCTTTTGATTTTTGGGTCGCGGATTTAAAGGTCAAAGTCACATCGGTCGGTTTGTCCGAGCAAACATTGGGTTTAGGGGCTATATAACAGTAAAGAGAACAATAGGTTCATTCCGTGATCAAAGGGTTTAGGGGCTAGTAGCCCTTAAGAAAACAAAGAAAATAACAAAGAGAGTAGCCCCTAAATCCAAAATGTTGGAACATCCGTCCGTTCGTCCGTCCAACATAATTTCCAACCAATAACATGAGAACACATGGACCCATCAACATACCACTTCATAGGTGAATTGCTCTTTGAGAGAAGATGACGTACCTATTGATTTTAGGATCCAGTGGCCTTTAAACTTCATAGGTACATTGGTATTTGGCAGTAGATGACCCCAAATTTATATATGGTCTATTAGCGCTCAAAGGCGATGATCACATTGACTTGGTATGCCAAAACGTTTTCCGGGCAGTATTTTATGCAATTTCCGAAATGTAAACGAGGGAAACATGCTTGTATTATAAACATCTCTAATATTTATTTGATGACTACTATAATAAGTGTCTATACACCTTATGTTTCAGATGCAAACATCTTATTGTATAGAAAGAAATAGCGATGCGTTGATGTCGGCCATTCATATGTTTTCACTTTCTGACAACGAGGCTTTTGTACATGAAGTAAGTTCTTTGTATGACAACTTGTGTATGATTGCTACATGTATGATAATAATAATAATAATAATAATAATAAATTTATGAATAATAAATTTATTAATTTGAATGCGTAAAAGATTCAATTAAATAATCTAATTTAGACCTTTGGAACAAACAAAAATTTGCACTCTTGCAAAAACGTTGATTCTCAGCTAGGAATAATGTAAATTTCAGTTTATTTTAGATGATATCAATGTCATACACTTGCAAATGCAATATAAAAGGCTTTGTTTGACTCTTATTTAGCAAATTATGTTTTGAATCATGTACATTTTGTACTATATATACATGTATAATAATATATAAAATTTATTGTGCATTGAATGAATAATGAAATGTTGTTCATTTTCTTTTACAGTTCACTATAAATCAGCCATCTTTTCTTGAGAAAATAACTGGACATTACGATATGCTTGATAATTTGGCTTACACCTTGGAGGAACTTTCTGAAACAGCCGCTGATGATCATGCTAAACAGAACTTACTGCAGATCCAAGCCCGAACATATAACGCCATGTGTACCATTAAAACCTTATTGCGATCACAAAATAAACATCTTACCAATGAAGTACCAAGTGGAAGAAACAGTTTTCAGATTGATGGTATATGTGATCAGCATCAGATGGAATATATTACAATGTTGAATGGTTATTTACTAGCGGAATACCTTGATTTGATGTATACAACGGTGTTAAATCATCAGAATTGACAAGTCAAACTGTTTAAAATCTGTCTGACTTTATTGATTTGTACTATACATTTATTGTCAAAAAGACGAAGATTCATCAGTAAATTATTTTTTATTGCCTCCGTGAAGCCATTCAATGCTGATATCAGTTTTGTATTAACGGATCTTTCTTTTTTACCATTGTCATTAAATCAATAGAGTTGTATCCAGTTTTTATTGTTGTATTTCTAATCGACATAGAGTTGCTAATATTGAAAAAAAATGTCATTGACGGAAACTTGATGGCAAATAATTGGTATCAATGGAGTTAATTATTCAAGTGATGATTCAGAAATACCCGTAACCAAAATTGTATAGATAGAAAATGACCTAAGAAAATATACTTTAAATAGTACAAAATGAAATTCTCTTTAATAAAAGCATTATTAAAATTACTGAATGTGTGATTTAGTGTGTCTAATTAACGAATAAAGGTTTTATCTTGAATCGATTTTTTCTGGAGTAATATTTATACAATAAGAAAATTCTTCTAATTGCTAATGGTATTTTCACATGTTGATATCCCGAAAGATTCCAAAATGCGACGCACATTAACTGAAACGATATTATCATTTAAAGAGACGGATAAGATCAATTTGAAAGACGGGCCAAAACGTGTCATTTAGGCTTATGTATAAAATTCGTTTGTCTTGGGATTTCGGGACATTCCGGGTGATAAGAAAAAGGATACTCAATTGACTCCCTGAATGCAAATACATGACATAGCCGTATTGTATCAATTTACAGCATTAGTTAAGTTCCAGCAGAAGAAATAGTTCAAGTGTTCTTGAAATAAAGATATCATTTTGTACGATCGTCTAGCTGTCTTTTGAAAGTATGGATTAACAAAACGCCCGACTCGAAACAAAATTTTCTTTAGCCTAAGCTTTAAACGCACAAATACCTTATGACCTTTCTGAAATTTCAAATTATGTTTCATCATGCGTTAAAAACAGAGAAAGTTGTTAGCTAAATCAGTTTATGTGGAAAGCTTTAAGGAAACTGTTGAATGGCTTGACATACCGATCCCTAACATAATTGAAAATACTTTATTATTTAAATCTTTTAGATAAAAAAATATTAGCACTTAAAATTTTCTTGAAGACAAACAAGCACAGCATCAAATTCATTGGTTGTATTATCATTCATTTGTGAACTAAATTAGCTAATGATTGATTGAGATGCATAGAGCAAGCAATGTTTAAATCGTTTAAGTTAATCACGAAATTTTATGTCATATTTGGCAGACGATAATGAACATTTTGAGAATCATCTAAATTAAATAACATGCAATATGGTGAATTTTCTGATAAAGGTAAAAAACTAACTTAAAGTAAAACCGATTGCTCCACATTCAAACGACAATTTAATTTCAAGATATCTGTATGATGCTCTAGAGGAAGCAAAGTTGAATGATACAAAAGCCTTCGGGACTTATATAAAAATCCCATATAATCTGATAACAATTAATCAGAAAATTGAAAAAAAGACATATCGTTCAGTGATCGAGATTTATTAATTGGAAAATCAGTAGTGATTTGACTGAGAAAATTACAACAAACATTGTAGATCTTGACATTTTTATAGCATTCATTTTTTATTGATTGATATCTTTTACATTAGTTTTTATTTATGTTTGCTATATAAACATTTCATGCTAGAATTTTTTTTGTTCTTTTTATTTAATTTTATTTTACTCTCAGTGAGTGATCACTGTAATCCACAAAAGAATAAGCAAACGTTCTTACTATAATTACTTCAATGGTTGAATTTTATGCGGCAATCGGATGGGCTAACAAATCTGTCTTTTAGTAAAGATGTCTCAAATTTACAATTTTTAATATCTTTTTTATCATAATTAAATTCCTCCTTTTATTATGTTTCCTACATCTAGCGAAAATGAAAGATAAATGTCATCATATAAAGAGCAGTCTTCATTTATATTGATTTATTGAAAAGAAAATGTAAAATGGGAAAAATTAATCAATATTTTGATGATGATGATGATGATGATGATGATGATGATGATAAATGTGAGCGTGTTGTGGCCTTGGTCAGGAAAAAAAGGATTGTAGTTTTCAACGATCAAATATATTTTTACAGAAATGTCTTATAATTCCTTTTTGGTTTCAGTTTATTGAGTTTGATTTGATTTCTATTAAGTTTTATAGTAGTTTGATTTTATAGGAAATGATTACTAATATAGACGTTAAGTATTTAATATGATGAAAAATTAGTCCTTTTTAGATGAAACCTTTCCGAATTGGATATTTTTACGGCATCGAACTTACCATTGATTTATAAATATCAGATAATATCACAGACGTTGACAAACTGTTTTTTCTGCAAATGTAGTGCAATAGCAATAAAGGTTTTCCGTGGGATTTGGTTTTATTCTGTTAATAAGGCCATTTAATACAGATGTTATTTCTCTATAATGACTGGTTGGGTCGGAAATTGAAACAATTACTTTCTTTTAACATTAAACCGATACAATATCACCCAGATAGTTTGTTTCATTACTAATTAAAATAAATGTTATTTGATCGATATTTGGCTTAAAACAACATAAAGGAACGTTACAAAATATTGACAACAGCATAGTGTTGAAGGTAAGACGGATCAATTCTTAAAACAGTGTGTTAATGATATTATATTTTAAGCTAGTTGGTAATTTATATATAACACATAAATATGGAAATATCCAAAGAGTAGACGAGTTGGATCTGCATTCTTGTACACTTGTATAACAAATTTGAGCCTCGTCGTGACAAAACTAACATAGTGCGTTTGCGACCAGCATGGATCCAGACCAGCCTGAGCATCCGCGGATGCGCAGGCTGGAAGGATCCATGCTGATCGCAAACGCACTATGTTGGTTTTGTCATGACGCGGCTCCTTTATGTTTTTGGTAACAGATGAGTTTGTTATAACTTTTCCAATGTTGCTGCTGTCGTTACTTGACGTATGTTTCTTTTAGAAAGCTAATATATATATATATGTCATAAAATGTATACAGATTTTGGCGTCCATACTTATACGGTTTGTAAGCTTACGAACGGTGTCATCAAGAAAACAAAGCAACTTTAACATTTGGAATAAAACGAAACACATTGTTTGTATTTTGTTTAGACAACATCAAATGTAATAGATAATACAAGTGATAAGACTATGTTTTTAATGTTACAAATAAAGGATATTTAATTAAATAAAATTAATACATTTAGAAGTCAACACATCTAATAGCTTCATTCAGGTATAAGGAACCGTTATATTAGATGAGAACTATATTCTAACACAAAATAAGTCAAGACATTTTACATTTAACTAATATGATACTAACGGGTAGAAATTTAAATGGCAGTTACCCGAAACGAAATACTGTATTAAATTATGTACTGTACAACTGTTTATCGGAAATATCAAACATTTCTTTAACTAAGAAACCATTTATCTGTACTTGTAGTGTATATATCGTTTTATATACCTTCGTGCATGTTACCCTTTCGTAACGTTAACCCCGTTACACCATTATTATAAACAAATAAAAACATAACAGATAGAAAGAAACCCTTCAAAATGTATATGAATTGAATGTTTTGATCTTAAATGTATTGTCATAATGACGGAGAAATATTTGTAGAACGGAGAATTATCAGTAGATAAAGTTTTATTGCCTTCGTGAAGCCATTCAATGCTGATAACAGTTTTGTTCTGATGGATGTTTCATTTTTACTTTTGTTATAAAATCAATAGATTTTCTTCATCCACTTTATTTGTTTATTAGTTGAGCTTCTAATTGACACAGATTCCACCATCACTTGTAGATAATATTATTAAATTGAAAGAAATTGTCATTAAGGGAACTTGGTAATATTCATCGTAGCATGTAATTGGTACACTTTATCAATGTAATTTTATAGTCAAACCAGTGAAAGAATGTTCAATCAAAACTTTTTTCATTTTTAGATAAATAAATGTCCATAATAAATAATTATTCTATCCTTTTATAACAAAAATAATGACCCTTTACTTTATATAAATTCCAATTAACAGTCAAAAAAAATCTTAAACCAAACAAAATGATTAAAGAAGTACTGAATGATAACCTTAATTGTTAATTAACTCACCTGCCTGATGGGATAAGTACTATACTAAATATCATTATTGGGTCTAGAACTTGAAGTAATTAAGCTTCGGGCAAGTCAGCCAATTATCCTCTTTGGCAAGAACATTTCTTAGCTATTAGTGAACAGACAAAGGCACTTCATATAAGCGAAAGAGTTACAAATGTAGTTCATTTTAATCAAGGTGTAATTATACCATTCACTGTATTCATTTATGTTCTTTACGCAGCGGCAAGGTTGATGTTAATTGAAAAGAAAAGAAAAGGTACGAGAAGAGAAAACGAAATCTCACTAATAAACGTTTTTCTTTCCTTGTGAATCTTTTGCTTGCTTGTAAATTGGCAAGACAAGTCATATTAACGGTTCTACCAAAGTTTGGAATGTTTCTAAAGTGTCTCATATGCCATTTATTTTATTAAATCGTTAAAGTTTGCGTTGTAAACTCGGTGCTTTGGGATATGGACAGTGGCTTAGAATAGCCATACTGTCGATTAGCGATCAAACATATTTTTAAATTTCATATAAAATGTCAAATAATTCAACTTTGTAATCAGAATATTTTTAATTATTATTTTTTTTTTGGGGGGGGGGAGGGGGTTGATACACGATTTATTTTATTCTAAATAAGTATACGTGCTCCCCTGATGCGCCCCGGTTATTTCCTTATGTATAGAAATATGTATAAGTAATAGAAAGAGGATATCTTTGTTTGTTTGTTTGTTTTGGGTTTTACGTCACATCGACACAGTATAGGTCATATCGCGACGTTTCAGCTTTACTGGTGGAGGAAGACCTCAGATGCCCTCCCGTGCATTATTTCAGGCACAGACGGGCACCTGAGTAGAACCACCGACGTTCCGTAAGCTAGCTGGATAGCTTCCTCACATGAAAGAATCCAAAGTCCCTGTCGGGATTCGAACCCACAGCGGTGAGGGGCAAGTGGTAAGAGGATATCTGATTTGTAAGAGGGGCGTAGCCCCCGTGTATAAATCAGAT